CGATGTCCCCAAAGAAGGTCTCGATACGTTAACGTTCGAGTTGTAGTCCCTCGTGACTCGGCACGCACCATCGTGCCGTTGAGTTCAAGGCTTGCCCTGAAGCGTTCAGCTGCTTTTCAGGGCAAGTCTTACTCAACGTTCTAGCCGGCAATGGGCCATTTGCGGCCAAGCGCTTTCTGCTGCATTGCGGTCAATTCCTTGATACCGCTCTTCGCATGCTTCAGCAGCTTCGCGAGCTCGTCCTCGCTGAATGTTGCTTCTTCGCCGGTTCCCTGGATCTCGATGAACTTGCCACTTCCGGTCATGACCACGTTCATGTCGACCGTTGCTGCGAAGTCTTCTACATAGTCTAAGTCCAACACCGGCGAACCATTGACGATGCCAACGCTTACCGCGGCCAGGCTATCCTTAAAAACAGGACGCTTCGGATCAGGAAGTTCGATCGTGCTGACCGCATCCACCAAGGCAATAAATGCCCCGGTGATACTCGCGGTTCGGGTACCGCCATCCGCATCCAGCACATCACAGTCCACAGTGATCATCTGTTCGCCGAGCGCTTCCAGATCGACAACCGCACGCAAGCTACGACCGATCAACCGCTGAATCTCGGTTGTACGACCATCGACTCTACGCGATTTACGCGTGGGCGTACTGCCAGGCAGCATGTTGTATTCGGCGGTGACCCAGCCTTTCTCGCTTCCTTTCAGCCATGGCGGCACCGAAGACTCGACGCTCGCGGTGCACAGTACCGTGGTCGTGCCGGCTTGGATCAACACGCTCCCTGGCGCGTTCTTGGTGTACTTCCGTTTCACCTTTAATGGGCGAAGCTGAGAGGCCGAGCGGCCATCGTGACGTGCCATGGGAACTCCTTGGTGCAAATCGTAGTAGCGAGTGTTTTAGTCGACTTGAATCTTGTCGACCGCTTCCGTCAAAAGCCAAACCAGCAATCCCTTTTGGGCATGCATTCGGTTACCAGCTTCTTCAACGATGCGGCTCGTCGGGCAATCCATCACTTCGTCAGTAACTTCCTGGCCACGCTTCGCTGGCAGACAGTGCAGGAAGATGGCTCCTTTCTCGGCAGCATCCATCAACTTGCTGTTTACTTGGAACGCAGCGAAGTCTTTTTCGCGTTTAGCCTGCTCCGCTTCCTGGCCCATGCTAGCCCAAACATCGGTGTAAACCGCACACGCTCCATCCACAGCTTCAAACGGATCGTTAGTCTGTTCGATCTTTGCATCGGGGACATGCTTCAGAACTCGATCGATGAATTCCTGTTCGATCTCGTATCCCTTCGGAGCGGCGAGAGTGAACGTCATGCCCATCTTGGCACACGCCAACGCAAGACTACGAGAGACATTGTTTCCATCACCCACGAACGTCAGCTTCTGACCTTCCAGCTTGCCGAACTCTTCATGAATCGTCATCAAGTCGGCCAATGCCTGGCAAGGATGGCACAAGTCGGTCAAGCCATTGATGATCACCGTGTTGGCGTACTTGGCCAGCGTTTCAACTTTTTCGTGCCCCTTGGCTCGACAGATAATCACGTCGAGATACTGACCGATCACGCGACTGAAATCTTGCGGAGCCTCTCGCTTTCCCCAGCCAACATCTTCGCCGAGAAACAAACTGCTGCCCCCTAGCTGAGCCATGCCGGCTTCAAAGCTGACGCGTGTTCGCAACGATGGCTTCTCAAACAACAGCCCTGCCACTTTGCCTTGAAGGACTGGCTCGCGGACGCCCGACTTCAAACGTGCTTTGAGCTGATGCCCAAGCTCGAAGATTCGTTTTAGTTCGTCATCGGAAACGTCAAATAGGCTCAAGAAGTGTCG